AGTCCACACACAGACTGCTAAGTCCATACACACAGACAGACTGCTGAGTCCATACACACACACAGACTGCTGAGTCCATACACACACACACAGACTGCTGAGTTCGTAAACACACACACACACACACAGCTGAGTTCATACACACACACACACTGCTGAGCCAATACACACACACACACACACTGCTGAGTCCATACACACAGACAGACTGCTGAGTTCACACACACACAGACTGCTGAGTCCACACACAGACTGCTAAGTCCATACACACAGACAGACTGCTGAGTCCATACACACAGACAGACTGCTGAGTCCATACACACACAGACTGCTGAATCCATACATACACACACACACAGACTGCTGAGTTCATAAACACACACACACAGCTGAGTTCATACACACACACACTGCTGAGCCAATACACACACACTGCTGAGTCCATACACACAGACAGACTGCTGAGTTCATACACACACACACTGCTGAGTTCATACACACACACACAGACTGCTGAGTCCACACACAGACTGCTAAGTCCATACACACAGACAGACTGCTGAGTCCATACACACAGACAGACTGCTGAGTCCATACACACAGACAGACTGCTGAGTCCATACACACACACACAAGCTTCCTCACTAGCAGACAGACACACAAACAAACACAGACTGCTGAGTCCATACACGCACAGAGACTGCTGAGTCCATACACACAGAAGGCTGCTGAGTCCATACACACACAGACTGCTGAGTCCATACACACACAGACTGCTGAGTCCATACACACACAGACTGCTGAGTCCATACACACACACACAGACACACACTGCTGAGTCCATACACACACAGACACACACTGCTGAGTCCATACACACACAGACACACACTGCTGAGTCCATACACACACAGACACACACTGCTGAGTCCATACACACACAGACACACACTGCTGAGTCCACACACACACACTGCTGAATCCATACAAAGACAGAGTACACACACACAGACTGCTGAGTCCATACACACACACACACACAGACTGCTGAGTCCATACACACTGTAACACACTACCTCTTTTCCAGGCAGGATTTTGCCACAGATCTTATAACCACAGCCTTCTAAGGTAATGAAAGTCCAGGACACATCCAGCTCAGTTTTTCAGATTTATTCAGTGAAATATATATACAGGTGTTTCAAAAATGAAAAAATAACAAAACAAAATTCCTTGCTCTTGCTTGAGCACTTACTATACACAGCAAATCCCTATCTGGAATTGGGTGGCTTTCCCACTTGCCAATTTACAAAGTATAACTGCAAGAGACCATTCCTCTGGCGTTTCCTCCTCACCATGCAGCATGCTGATCCCTTCTTTTTAAAAGCCTGCTAGCTAATTGATCAGATACAGGTGAGGTGCAATTAGACATAAGTGAAACTACTAAGCAAAATAAAAGTTCTGGTCTGACTGTTACATAGCAGCTGGTGCTATTGGAGCACTGGCCCACCCTGTTCTCCAAGTGCTCTGCCCCAGGGACCCATACCATGGTTTGCAGAATACCAGTAATGCATCTTGCAAACCTAACATCTCTCCCTGGGACATTTAACTCTCAAACCTCAGGCTGCTGTTCAGTAAATCAGGCCTAATATATATGCCATCAACTACCAAACCACATTTTCTCTCACAAACATACAGACTGCTGAATCCATACACACATATTGCTGAGTCCATGCACACACAAACATACTGCTGAATCCATACACACATACTGCGGAGTCCATACACACACACACACACACTGCTGAGTCCATACACACAATCTTCCTCACTAGCAGACAGACACACACACACACACCTTTCAAGCAGCAGCAAGATCTGGGGCTTATGTGCGGGAGGCTGGGCTTAATTTTGGGGTGGGGTCTTTGCCAGGGAAGCTGCTGAAAACACCCAGCACTGTTCCAGCTCCTCTGTCCTGCATTCCCTCCAGCTGTTACAGTCTGAGGGAATATAATTTAAGCACATGGCCAGCAAGTTGAGGGGGCACAGCATGATGTAGGGGGCCCATGAACCCCTCTGGCCCGCCCCTAGTGATGCCACTGGTCCCAATATTTTGTGGGCCACCACAATTAAAAAACAAAAAACAAAAACAAAAAAAACAGTGTTGGCTACCACCTCCTCCTCCACCGCTGCTTCCACCTACACCGCCACGGTCACCGCCTCCTCAACCTATGGGTCACTTAGTATAAACTAGGTACACATTAGCAGATGCTTGTGAAGGCCTTTTCTCCATGCATCAGGAGTTGAGCATTTCTCAATGCATCAGGACTGCAAGAAATGCACCGCAGGCCGCAAATGTTTCTTTTTTTGTATGTCCCAATATTTTGCGGGCTACCATTAAATTAAAAAATAAATAAATAAAATAAAATAAAAAACAGTGTTAGGAATACAATTTCAAAAAGGCTTAGGAAAAGGTTCTAGATTTGACCTATACAGCCATACTACATTTTGGGTGACATTTCTATGTAACCTTGTGAGTTTATTTTTAGCACAGTGTAGGTATAAAATTAATAAATACAATTTCCTTTCACTATTGAACAGGATATAGTGGTAATAGTGGTAAGGGTAAGAAAGTTCTGAAGATAAAGCAAATCCGACTATTTTATTTATGTATTTAATTCAAACGTACCAATTCTGGGAGTGTAAAATACATCTCTTAGTGGGAGTTTAAAAAAACAAAACCCTGATATAAAAATTAATTATTACCAGGGTTTAAATAGCTGTACGAGTCCAGAAAACATAACAAGAATATTTAGACAAGTGTGTTGGCCATTGGCTTTTCTCCCAGTCACCATTGGTATGCTCTAAGAATCAGCTTTTGGGTCCTTGACCTTCTCATTCTGACTTGGTTTCAAACTACCACTATATGCCGATGATGCCAATGAAACCTCTTTCTATAATGTTCACCTACCTTCAACATCACCAGTATTTACACTCCTTACCCTGCATAGAATATCCAATACACATCTGCCCTCTTATCATTTCTATCCTATTACAACTAAGGCTTTTTCCCTCTTCCCAACACTATCTAATACTTCCACATCTTAATGAATGATGTGCATGCCTACAGTTAGAATATACACAACTCTAGTTCCCTATCCAACTACCATTGCTCATAAGTAGTATCTCCATTGTCCAGTTTAGTTATACTACTTACACAAGAAGGTAGGTATTAGTTTGTACCGAAAGCTTTAGAAATGTGGGGTCATGACACGGTGTATATTGCTGTACCCACTCACAGCTTTTCTCACAATAAAAAGTATTCTTACTAACTCATTCCCTATTATGTTATTGGTTATAAAGCTACAACATATACCTCATGTTATATATGCATTTATCTAGATGTGATTAAATAAAAATAACTTACAATGAAAATCTACAGAGCACCGCCATATTGCAGGTAGTATTCTTTCCTCAAAGAGCAGAAAATACTTTAGAGAAAGTGATGTTATGAAAGAGGTTAAAAATAAACAGCACTTACTGACTGGGATGTATGACTAATCTTCTAAATTTAAATGTGATAATGAATGCTATTGTAATGTCAGTGACTGAAGAAGATGATGTTCAAGATCAACTCTTCAGACTAACATGCCCTTCCACATTTTAACTTGTTGTTCTGAGCAGTTTGGAAAAAACTAAGTAACAAAAAATAAGTAATTTGAGTAATCTGGCTGTAGAGGAAAATTTAAAAGATTAATACAGACATTTATGAGTTTGTCATATTGTCAGTTTAAGTCAGACTGTATAGATTAAGAAGTCTAGAAATACTCTTTAAAAAAATCAGAGAAACCACGACTAAATTTAATACGGGTGTAAGGAAACCTGGTATATCCAATACCCATTTGGTAGTTTCCTCCCGAACGGCCAGAGTGTCAGTGACTATAACTCTCAGTTCGGCAAATAAAATAAGCCATCTCTAAACAAATAACTGCTTTCCAAGTAGGTTCCCTTAGTGAAGTAGACAGATACCCAATCATAAGTCGAAGTCTAGAAGAAGGGTACAATAGAACTCACTTTTAATGATGCCACACCGGCTTTTATGCAAGTCCCTGTGCAAGGGGACCACCCACAAGACATAAATCATATAACCAATCATGAACAGAGAAATAGTTAAACACTCCCAGTACAAACATATAATTCCCTCCCCTAGACCTGGAGATAATTAGGGCTGATAAAATAATAACTGCATTATCTCCAGGCAGAAAAAGTAAAATTTTACCCAACTTTCAGAACACCCCTTAAAATATAAGGTATTCCCACATATCCAAAAATCACCCAGATGAGTTCAGGGGTTTTCTAATTC